GGGGACTATTACAGTACAAGGGGCCTATTATAGTAGAGGGGGACTATTACAGTACAGGGGAATTATTATAGCAGGGGGGACCGTTGTAGTCAACAGGGACTATACTCTATTACAGTAGAAGGGGACTATTACAGTAGAGGGGAACTATTACAATAGAAGGGAACTATTATAGCAGAGAGGACTATTACAGTGGGGGGGACTATTACAGTAGAAGGGGCCTATTATACTAGAGGGGGGCTACTACAGTAGAAGGGGACTTTTACAGTAGAGAGGGACTATTACAGTGAGGGGGACTATTTCAGTAGAAGAGGGACTATACAGTAAAGGAGTGAAGGAGCTAAGGAAATTTCATCCCAACATATGACTCCCTGGTATGACCTAAGGCCATTCGAGGTCAGGACACTGGAGGAGGTCTTCCCTCCCTTCATAAACTGGACTAGCCTGATCAGAGATCAAAGCGGACAATTGCCTCCCTTTCCCCTTCCTGCTATCCCAAGACATTTCAGGCAGGAATGTTGGGAATGTAGGCGACCTGGCCCAAATCATTTGGGTCATAAATACCTGTCTCCCAGGTTAATCCACAAGTCCATCTGTTCCTCCCGTACACGGTCGTCACCAGCAATCCCTCTAGCAACCACTGATGCTCTATCCTGCATTTCTCCCCTCCTCTGAAGGATGATTATAAAGACATCTGAACTACATCAAGAAACTGGGTAATCACTCTATGATTTGTCCCTGTGTGCATAGTAATAAATCCTTTCTCTCAGGATTTATTAAATAAATCCTTATCAAATCCTTTAATGAATCCAATCTGTCTTCAGTTGATCTTTCAGTGAACTTTCAACAGAAAGGGCAACTTTCCCCTCACCTTTACAGGGGGAACATTACAGTAAGGGGGACAATGACAACAGAAGGGGGCTATTACTGCTACAGCATAGGGGGACTTTATAGTAGAGGGGGGACTATCATAGTAGGGGGACTAATACCCTAGAAGGGGACTATTACAGTAGAGGGGAGACTGTTACAGTACAGGGAGACTATTATAGTAGAGTGGGGGTATTACAGTAGAGGGAAGACTATTGCTATAGAGGGGGACTGTTACAATGGGGGAACTTTTATAGTTAAGGGGGACTATTACAGTCAAGGGAGCCTATTATAATAGGAACTATTACAGTAGAGGGGAGACTGTTATAGTAAAGGGAGGACTTATAGTAGGGGGGACTGTTCTAGTAGGAGGGACTATTATAGTGAGGGAACTATTACAGTACAGGAGAATTATTACATTGGGGGACTTATAGTAGAGGGGGACTATTACAGTATAGGGTACTATTATAGTAGGGAGAGACTATTATAGTAGAGGGGGGCTGTTATAGTAGAGGGGAGACTGTTACAGTAGAGGGGACACTATTACAGTAGGTGGGGACTTTTTTAGTGTAGAGAAGACTATTATAGTAGTTGGGAGACTGTTATAGTGGAGGGGGGACTGTTAAAATAGAGGGGGGACTATTAATCTAGAGGGTAAACTTCCTCTAACGAAATATTTGAGAAGGCTATTCTGATGCCCTCAACAACCCTATTCCTCCCCAGTCTGTTTTTTCCTCCCCAAAGCCACAGCCCCTGTGTGATTTTTTTGCCCTAAAAAAGCCTCTTTTCCTTCTGCAGGTTGCAGGAGGCTGTCCTGCCACGGGCGGGCAGATGAGCACCGACTGCAGCTTCCGCAGCCTGCGCTGCAGGATGGGGAACTCGGACTGGATGTCAGCACTGAGTCCCCAGCTGTGGGACGTGCCCCTGCACCACTTGTCCATCCCAGGTAAGGTTGAGGGAAGGGCTGTCACGTGCATAACCCCCTAGGGGCACTACTGCAGGGCCAGTCTTGGGTGTGGGGAAACCAACCCTCTAGCACACGGTTGGACACACACATATGCACACAGGGCACACGTGGATGCACTGGCACACACATGTGCACACAGCACATACTTGTGCCTGTCTCCTTCATCATGACACACTTAAGGGAGGCCCACGGGCCACCCCCAGGAGGGTACGGCTTTGGGGTGCCTTGTCAGCCTGGGAATTCGGGGCTACACACCCCTTGGCTGGTCTGTTCTCACTACTAGAACATGAGGGAGGGGGTTTCAGGCTCCACCAGTTTCTCTATCACTCTCCTCCCAAGACTGCAGAGAGTCCCCTGGGCTCAGCACTCCAGTGTTGGGAAGGAGAAGCTTAAGTGCCCCAGAGATTTTTCAAGTGAACTGAAAAACCCTCGAGTCTCCTCAATTGCAACAAATGATGAGAAAGACAGCACTGGACTGACACGTACAAGAGGTGGGACAGGCCATGATGGCCACAGGTGGGGCATGTCCCACATGACACGCCACAGTGTCCTGTCTGTGTCCAGCACACGGAAGGGCCCTTGTCTACCAACTGCTGTGGTGTGGTAGCCCTGGGTGCCCAGCTGCCAACAGCAACTGCTGACGGCCTTGGCCACACCACACAGAGGTGAAAATGTGTTTACTGCTCTTTGGTTCATGCTTGTCGGAAAGCGTGGAGCCGAGTGCCTCAGCTCACATTAACATGAGACCTGTGTCCAGCTGCTCTGAGCACAATGTCTTCAATGGCTCGTCTGTGTTGTGGCCACGTCAGAGCTGCCTTTCTCTTTGTGGCTAATATTCTCTTGATGGAAGGAACTTCGCTGTTCCCACCTCCTGGTTGCTGTGAACTTGGTACACTTGTCCTTCTTTGCATCTGTTTTCGTTCCTCACCCTGCATGCTCAGCATCTTTTAAAACTGATGCTGCAGCAGGATCCGGAAGCATAGCTCTGCCTGCATTCCTGCCAGGGAGTCCTGCCCCTGCCAGCAGGCCCAGTGGAACAGGACATGGACATTCCCTCTGACAAAGGGAGCCGGCAGCTGCCCTCCACATACCTTGGAGTCATCTCTCCTTATTCTCTGTCTGTCACCTTGTTTAAGTGTCTGCACGTGGTTGCAGGGTGTGGGTGTGGTGACTCCCTCTGCCATCCTCTGTGATGAGTGGGCAGGCATTTCCATCCTCTGCTTTTATAAAAAGGAAGTAAAGGAGAGGCACCTCCCATGCCTCTCTCCATGTGAGCACAGTCATCTCGGGAACTGCTCCCTCAGAAGGGTGCAGAGTTTTCACTGGGTGGCTGTTACCAATTCCCCACGTGGCTTCTACTCTGTCTCTGCATGTTCTGCAACACAATGCATGGTCCAGCCTCTTCCCATTGCCAACTGGGGCTGTGCAGTGGTGCCTCAGTGTTGTGGTAATTTATTCTCCAGTTTTCACTTTGTCTGCCCCTGGTGTTTCTAACAAATCATTTAATCTTTTAAATCTGGCGCATAGTTCACTCACTGTGGACTAGCATCAGCCAGACCACTGCCCAGGCAGGGCATGGGACAGTCTCTCCCCAGAGGGTCACTTTGTGCCCATTGTAGCGAATGTACCCAGAAAAGCATCCCCATCCTGGCCTCTTGCACCCCAAGAGGTTTTGTCTCTTCTAGAACTTTCTGCTGAGGGACCCTGACAGTGTGACAGGGTGTACCGACTACTATCACTCAGTGATGCTGTTGAGATCCATCTCTACTGTCATATGGACCAGAAGTTCTCTTCTAGAATTTTATGACTTTTTAAATGAAATTTAAATCTTTGGTTTACATGCATTTATGTTGGTGGGGCAGGACTCAACCTGCAGCTTTCCAGGACTGCCCGGTTGTTCTCGCAGCTGGTCTCCTCCAGTGGCATGAATCCAGCCATGGAAATGACATGGCCACATGGTGCCGTCTGGACCTAAAGGGGAAAAAGCCCCCAGGAGCCAGGCCGACCTGAGCAGGGCGTGGAGGAGTGATGACAAACAAATGCCGTGGCCAAAACAGCATCCCCCAACTCTCTTCCCACCTAGAACTGTGAAAGCAGCTTATTTGGAAATGAGGTCTTTGCAGATGTAATCATGTAAGATGAGGTCATCCTGGACTTGCTTGGGTGGGTCCTAAATTTAAGGACTGGAGTCGTCATAAAGACAGATGTGCAGAGAGGACAAGCTACGTGGAAATGGAGGCAGAGACTAGAGTGATGTGGCCACAAGCCCAGGGACACCCAGAGCCCCCAGGAGCTGGGAGAGGCAGGAAGGAGCCTCCCCTGGGCCTATGGAGGGAGACTGGCCCTGACACAACTTCACCTCAGACTTCTGGGCTCCAGGGCTGGGGAGGGTGAGTTTCTTTGGGTTTAAATCCTCAGTTTGTAGTTCTCCATAACACTGACAGCTGAGTCCCTGTTTGTGTTTGGGGGGTCACTTGCTGTGAGCCCCCCACACACACACACTTGTTATCTCTTTAACTACTCTGCACTTCAGAAATCCCAATGGTGAGAATGGGTTTGCAGGGTCAGAGTGAAGTTTAGATAAACCCTGGATGTATAATCCTCTGGATGTGGAGAGAGAAGCCCCCAGCTTCTTCCCTCATGCTCCCCTCCTAAAGTAGGGATATTCCTCCTGCAGAGGACAGTGTGTGTATGTGTGCAGGAATATCTTTCCCTGTCAGCTCAGCTGTCCCCAGGACCATCACAGGGGGCAAGACCAGGTCCCAGGTAGGCTGGGGGAGTCTGTGAACAAGTCTGTGGGACGCACAAGAGGGTTAAGAGCCTGCTTGCTGAACTGTACTGTTTAGAAGTTACTAAGGTCCCAGGTCATCACAAATAGTTTTATTTATTTTTAATTCCTTCATTCATTTATTTTTGAGACAGAGTCTCATTCTGTTCCCTGGTTAGAGTGCTATGGTGTCATAGCTCAACGCAACCTCAAACTCCTGGGGTAAAGTGATTCTCCTGCCTCAGCCTCCCCAGTAGCTGGAACTACCATCACTCACCATGAATCCTGGCTAGTTTTTCTATTTTTAGTAGAGATAGGATCTTGCTCTTGCTCAGGCTGTGTGAATAGTTTTAAATATACTATTTGTATCAATTTCTACTGGTTAGAAAATGAGAAAACTACTATAAACAGATCCTTCCTATACGTAATAGATATAAAATAGACACATAAATGTGCTGTGTCAGTACAGAACTTACAGAAATTGCAATGTCAGTACAGAACTTTAATTTTTTACTTAACTCTATATTGTCATTTTCCTGCAATTACCATGAATTCCTGTAGGTATTAGTCTCCTAGAGCTGCTACAACAAAGTACCACACGCTGGGGGCTTAAAATCACCCTGGAGCCCAGGAGTCTGAGGTGCAGGAATCTCGGGGCTACTCCCTCCACAAGCCCCAGGGGAGGCTCCTTCCTGCCTCTTGCAGCTCCTAGGGGCTCCAGGCATCCCTGGGCTTGTGGCCACATCACTCCAATCTCTGCCTCCGTCTCCACGTGGCTTCTCCTCTGTGTCTGTGTCCCCTCTGCTCTCTTACGAAGACACTTGTCACTGGGTTTAGCGCCCTCCCTAATCCAGGATGAGAGTCTCATCTTGAAACTCTTAAGTAATTACATCTGCGCAGAGACCCTTTTTCCAGGCGGATGTACATTTGGGGCCTGGGGAGGAGAGACAGGAAGCCCAGCTCCAGCAGTTGGGAAGACATAATGAGCAAGGCCCATGGTGGAGCCTGTGGGAGGGGAGGGCTGAGCAGGAACCTGGGCGCTGTGCCCAGAATGGGGCAGAGGTGAAAAGGAGTGGGGGCGAGGGTTGGGTTACTGCTCAGATGCATTCTGCATGTGCACCTGTGATGCACAGTGTGGAGCATGGGGTGGGGAGTGGCCAGTGATTGTTCCCTCTCTGCTTGCAGGCAGCCATGACACGATGACCTACTGCTTGAACAAGAAGTCCCCCATCTCTCAGGCCCAGCCCCGGCTGCTACAGCTGCTCAGCAGAGCTGCCCCCTGCATCACCCTGCCTGTGGTGCTCAAGTGGTCTATCACCCAGGTGGGAGAGGTGCGGGGTCCACTGGGCATAGGAGGGGGCAGGGGGCTCCCACTCCCAGGCCTGTGTAGTCTCATCCCACCCCTGACCTTAACTCTGGGAAAATGGAGCTGAAGACAAAACCTCCTACCAGCCCAGACACCACTCTCCAGAGGCAGGAGAGAGAGGGACAGTTTATTAGTGAATAGCTGGAGACCACAGTGGCCACACAGCTGCTCAGAGATGCAGACAGCATCTCACTGGGCCTTGGGCCCGGAGTACGTACCCATTTTGTTCTTGGGCTCAGGGTCGATGTCCTCTGATTTCCTCACATCTGTGATTGCCACTGGGTTTGCCCTGAGGATTCCGGTAACCGTGGTTTCCCTGGAAATGGGGAGACAGGGCATTTTCCTCCCTGATAATTCCATTTCTGAGAGGCCCCAGGTCCCGGGAAATGCCCCAGGTTGTCAGGCTGTTGGGAAGCCTGTTCAGGCCTTAGGTTATTAACACTGGCCTTAATGGCATAGAGGAAGTCCCTATAGCTGCAGGTTTCTGAAGTCAGAGCCCAAAGAGCTGTTAGGGGGCTGTGTCCTCCCGGCTTTGCCTGGAGGATCAAGTATGTGGCCCTTTCCCTGTGTCCTCCCTACCCTGTGCAGAGTTGGGGCAGCTTCTTTACCTTTTCCAGTTCTTGACTCTCCTCTTTCCTCTTGGGTCCAGCCTCCTGCCCCTGCAGCCACCGTGGTGCCTTTGGGCATCTGTAGGTCTGCGGG